ATCGAGACGAGGCACAGGGAAGAGGGAGAAGCAACTTTCAGCAATTATACACCAGACAGCTAAATGCAGAGCTGACAGTCATAGACTCACTGTGACTGCAGCCTCTTCAGACACCAGCACTTCAGGCACTGATCCCAGGAGCCTAGAAATCCTCCGTCGCATAAAGAACAAACCTGCCCTAATTGGAGGCACAAATAAAATGCCCCAGGAAAATGCTGTTGCTTTTTCTTTTTCAAATCATGTTATCCTATTTTCCTGGAAAAGTATATGTCTAGACAGACTTATTGCCCCTTGAAAAAGCTAAGGACCTGCTCTTTGAGAATCCCACTAGAAGATGTAAAAAAACGTTCCCACCATTCAGACTTCTGGAACCTGGTGGTGAAAGCTGCCATGGTTGATCAATGGATGCCTGCTCTCAGAGGTCAGACAGTATGAGCGTGAGTTGGCTGAAGCTATTAAAACAGCCCATTCTTATTGTGATAAAGCACATTCTGGCACAGCCGCAGAAAGGAAAATTATAGCAATCAATACAGAGCAAAATGAAACCCAGATGAAGATTTCAGCCAAATCTATCTTTACTTCTGCTATAATAGATTAACTTTGGAGAACTAAAATCAGCACAATTTGCAGATTCAGGAGATTGAATATAGGAGCCAAAAATCAAGCCACAATTTAATTGAAACTATAGCCTGACCCTTGACATTTACAAGGGTTAGTGCTACTTCCTACACATCACAGTGCCTTCTTCAATTGCATTTGAAAAATAGTCTTCATCCCATCAAGTGACTCATGGTACTTTGATTTTATATAGCCTCTCTCAACATACTTAACAGATAATCTATAGACATAATGAATGGGCTTTGAAACAACTCACAACAAAGCTTCTTATAAAGAATTCGATTAGACATAAAAATTGCCAACCAGTACTTGGAAAGATGCTCAACTTCATTAATCACCAGGGGAAAAAGTAAGTCAGAAACATAATGAAATATCACCTTGCCCAAGTAAGAATGCCCATTATACAAGTGCAAGGTCCCAAGTTTTATCCCCAGTACCAAAAAAAAAAAAAAAGTATGGCCATTATAAAAAAGACAAAAAATACAAAAGATAAAAATGCTGATGAAGATGTGGAGAGAAGGGAACCCTTGTGTACTTTTGGTAGAAATGTAATTTAGGGGAAAACCATGTGAAAATTCCTCAAAGAATTAAACATAGAACTACCATATGATCTGATGAATCCACTTTGGGGTATGTATCTAAAAGAAATGAAATCAGTAAGTCAGAGAGACACTGCACCCCCATTCTCATTGTACTATTGTTCACAATAGCTAAGAAATGGAAACAACCTAAGTGTCTATCAACTACTGATGAGTGGATAAAGAAAATGTGGTACATATAGACTATGCACTGTTATTCATTCATAAAAAAGGAGTTAAGTCCTGACATTTATGACAACATGGATGGAACTAGAGGTTATTATGCTAAATAAAGTAAGCCAGGCTCCGAAAAAAAAGTGTCACATGATCTTACTCATACATGAAATCTAAGAAAGTGGATCTCATAAAAGTTGAGAATAGAATGGCTGTTATCAGAGGCTAAGAAGAATAGTGAGGAGTAAAGAAGGGGAGAAGATTGTTCAATGGCTGCTTTGTAATAGTTCCATAGGGTTAAGACGTTCTGGTGTGTATTGAACAGTAAGGTGACTACAGAAGATAATGTATGCATTCTTCACAAAGCTAGCAGAAAAGTGTTTGAATGTTCTCACCATAAAGAAACAATAAATGTTTGTGGATACACATGCACACACACACACATATCCTGATTTAAATATTACATAATATATACATGTATCAAAATATCATATGGTACCCCCAAATATGTATACTTTTTATGCTTTTACATAATAATTAAAAATAAATTCAAAATTTAAAAACAAATACATTTACCACATTCAAGCCTGTTGGGGCTGGCCCTGTGGAATTTACCAAAGAACAGATAAAATCTAGCAAGTATAGCCTACCCCCAGAGTTCTCAGCCAAACTGCAAAGTGAGAATAATGGCAACATCACAAAACTTTGGCCATGCCCCTATGTCCCAATTCTAGCATTACCAAAAAGTCCAAGTCCAAAGTCTCCTCTAAGATTAAGGCAAACTTGTAGCTGTGAGCCTCTGTACAAATAAAAATGTTCAATGCTTCCAACATACAATGGCACAGGGAAAACATTCCTATTCCAAAAGGGACAGAAAGGAATGGGACCAAAGCAAGACAAAAACCTGGCAGGCAAATGTTAAATCTTATAGCTCCATGTCCAGCACCCAAGAGAGTTTACACCAAGATGTGAACACCAAAGGGCTTGTTCAGCCCCACCCCTATTGCATTGCTAGTGGCAATCTATATAGTCTCTCTTTTGGACTGGCTCCACTCATTGTCTTCACTTTGCTCAGAAAAGGATCCACATTCCTGGTGTTTCCAACTTCCTGGGGTGTACACTGCCCCTTTGGCTTCACTCTCACAGCTTAATGTACTGCCCTTTCAGGGGCACGTTGCCTGAACTCCCAGACCTTTTGAAATCTAGGTGTAAGCCTTTATGACTCTACAACTCTTTTGTTCTACATGCCTAAAACAACAGTATCATGTGGATGATGCTAAGGTCTACTGATCCAGCTCAAGCAAAAACCAAGCCCCCTTGGAGCATGGCTGCAGTGGTTTCTGAGTGGATGGCTAAACTTGGGAACAGATTTCTCTAGATGGCTCTGAATGAGCTAGGTTTCATGAAGCTCTCTTCTCAAAGCAAGGTTTTTAAAGGAGTTTTCATTTTTACACCCTTTAGTCTGTGAACAGTTGAGTAAGGACAATTCCTGAGGAGTCTTCAAGCCATCTTTCCTGTTGTCTTGACCTGGCTTCTTTTAAATGTTAATCTTTTTAGTAACCAGCTCTCCTTGTTCTCTTTGGCCATAACTTTACCTGTGCTTCCTTTCTGGACAGGCTGCACTTTTTTCAAATTATTCAGCTCTGCTTTTTTTTTCCTTCTGATTCTTCCTATAGATCTGACCAAAAGCATCTAGCAGTACTCAGGCCACACCCTGAATATTGAGCTGCCTTAAAATTTCTTGCATTAGTTTAGTCCACCACCTTTTTTAAAAAAATTCTTTTATTGGTACATTTCAGGTATACAATACATTTACATTTATCATTGGGTGCTTGTACCTGTACATGATGAATCTTGGTTCTTATTTTTTTCCCCATTACCTGTGTGCCCTTCACCCCCTCCACACTTCCCTATTTACATAGATTTTGTTTCCATTTTTTTCTTTTCTCATAATGTTTCCTTTCCCTTCTTTCCTTTCCCCTTCCCCTCCCACCACCCCTACATGTTTGGACCTTGTAATATTTCAAATTATCAGTTATTCTTTTTAATCATTTTAATCCTTTTTTACACTTTCAGTTTCTCACACTAGAGAAACTATTCAGTGTTTACACATGAGTGTTCTATTTATTTCACTTAAGAGTATGGCCTCAATATGCATCCATTCAGCTATAAATGTCTGTAGTTTCTCATTCTTTATGGCTGAGTAGTACTCCACTTTATAAAAAAACCCACATCTTCTTTATCCAGTTTCCAGTGATGGGCACTTGGGCTGTTTCCAAGCTTTAGCTATTACAAACTGTGCCACTATAAACATGGATGCATGTATATCACTGTGGTATGATTCTTTTAATTCTTTGGGGAAGATACCCAGCAGGGGAATAACTGGGTCATATGGGACCTCTAGCCCTAGTTCTTTGAGGTATCTCCATACTGACTTCCACAGTGGTTGCACCAGTCTTCACTCCCACCAACAATGGAGAAGGGTTCCTTTCTCCCCACACCTCCGCCAGCATTTGTTATTGGTTGATTTCTTGATAGCAGCCATTCTTTCTGGGGTGAGGTAGTCTACCCTTTAAATTTAGCCCCATACAAAGTCAGTATATGGACAAAATATAGACAAATTCCTTGTCAGGATGTAACACACATGGCCTGTAGTCTAATTTCCAGTGGTGTCCTCATTCCCAACTAAAAACTCATGAGCCTGGCTCTTACTGTCTCCATTCTTATCAGTATTCTGGCCTTCAGAGCTCTGAGTAGAATCTCTTGTCCATCTGTACTTACAGTATTCTGAGGCTTCTCTAATCAGAATATCCAAAACTTTCCCAAACTCATTCCACAAACCAGATCCAAAGGCTTGTTTACCACATGGTCAGGTATAGTCTCAGCAACAACTCCACTTCTGGTACCAATTCTCTGTATTGGTCAACTTTCCTGGCACTGGAACAAAATACCTGATGCTCACATCTTAAAGGAAGACAGGTTGATTTTTGACTTTTGGGTTTCAGATGAGTCAGGTCATGGCAGGTTGGCTCAATGGCAGAGGTAGCATGGCAGAAGGTCACAGTAGACCAAGGCTGATCAACCCATACCAGGCAGAAAATAGAAAGTGAAGGGAGGAGCCAGGGACAAAAATACACTCTTCTAGGCCATGGCCCTAGTGACCTCCTCTGACCAGGTGTCACTTACTAACAGCACATTCAGCTACTAAACTCGTCAATGAATGAATCCATCGATGAGTATAGCAATCTCATGGTCTAATCAGTTTCCAAACACATGAGATTTTGGGAAGGGATTTTAGATATAAGCGATAAGAATCACCAAAGATGGGTCTGGAGTCCAGTTCCCTGAGGCTCCAAACTTCAAATTCTTTCCTTTACTGAGCTGCTTCTAAGTTATTTATTTAAAACAATAAAATGGTAACAGTGGACTGTCTAGTTCAGTTTTAAAGAAACAGTGATTTGGAAAGCAGGCTCCACTCCCTGCTAAAGGTGAGGGGATAATTTGACTCTGAAGGGCCTTATGATTCTTTTGGTAAGTCGTCATAGACTCTTACAGCTTTGTTTGCTCTCAGTGGCAAAACTAGCCAATAGTGTATGTCAACATTCTTAATTCTTTTAAATCTCCTTCTAGGGGTGTTTGCATTTGGACTTTTTGCTACTGACATTTTTGTAAACGCCGGACAAGTGGTCACTGGGCACCTCACACCATACTTCCTGACAGTATGCAAGCCGAACTACACCAGTACAGACTGCCGGGCACACCATCAGTTTGTAAACAATGGGAATATTTGTACTGGGGATCTGGAAGTGGTAGAAAAGGCTCGGAGATCCTTTCCCTCCAAACATGCTGCTCTGAGCATTTACTCTGCCTTATATGCCACGGTGAGTGTGCAAGTTTTATTGTCTCCCCCAAGTTGAAATTCTGTTGGGATATGTCTCTCTTTCTCACTTCCATTCTTCCATTGCTGTCATTCATGCCCAACCTGTTTCTCCTATGTCAGATAATGCTATTGATATAATAACCCTCACCCTGATCCCACTCCCAGCATCCCAATATAATATCTCGAACTGCCAAAGGATGTTAGTTCTGGAAAGAAATTTTTATAATCCCCTAGTCAGGTGCTCCCCTTTTACAGCTGCAGAAACTGGAGCCCAGAGAATAGCTAAGAACAATCAATTTGGGACCCCAGCTCCTGGCACCAGGTTTGCAATTCTCTTGCCAACCGTAAAAACACTCTATCAGCATCTCAGTTGGTTCCAGAGCAGCACACTCTGGAATTTTCAGGTGTAGCCTTATATGAGTGGATGCCCCAGCAGAATGAAGACCCAGAATAAATAAAACACCTTTCCTTTGCTTCTCCTGATACTCTTTCTATCATGTTGCTAGGATAGATGAGTGGTCCTAGAAGAACCCCAGCATCCCAAAGTTCACATCTCACTGTTCATCAGATCAAATTGCCTTTGACTGTCCCACTGGAGTACAATGTGACTTTTAAATATTTTGGTTTCATCAGAGAAGAAGCAATGGTACCTTCTTATATTCCTACTTTATAACTGCATCCATGCTGGAAATGACCTCATTTCACCTTTCTCTGGCTTGTGCTTCCTTTGAATCCAGAACATAGAAGTCAGAGGTTTCCTCAAAGACCACATAATGAGAGCATAAATTCACAGATGGGCATTATAGTCACTTACCAGTGGAGGTGCAAATGTTAGTCAGAAAGATTCCTTTCTTTTAATTTATCTTATATTCAGGATATGACTAGTCTAGTGATTCTCAGTGAACAATGGAAGAAGGAGAAGGCGGAGGGAAGATTTCTGTCAAACTGTCCATTCTTCCAATTCTGGATGTGCCTTTGCCCCTTTCCCTGGGGCAGGCTCCTACCATTCCCCCTGGAGTGTGTGTACAGGGGAGGCTGACTGCAGATCTGGTCTGTGTAGCAGGTTAAAATAATTTGGTGAGTATTCTCTTTCACAGAACCTGGAACAGATACATTTTTGTGTCGTCTACAGGGTCTCATGTAGGGATCATTTTGCTAAACACCAACTATCCAAACTGAGTCTCCTACTTATTCCTTTTAGATTTACTCTTTAATGAATACATGATAAAGTGATTTCAACTGCTCGGACACTAAGGAAATGTGAACACAAATAATACAGATGCCTCAGATTACAAAGCAGATTAACTATGCTTGCTTAGACTTCATTGCTTTTTACCAAGAAAAGTCTATGCCAAGCATTTTTTAAACAAAGAAAGCCCTCTGAGGCACCCTGCATATTTACCAATTTTCAGAATACTGATTTGTCCTAATTACCTAGAACCTAATATGTATAAAGCAGTTTACTTCTGTGCCTCATCTTGTATTTTTATCAGATTCAAGTCATTGCTGTATGAAATTAATGTTAATAGTGTCATTATAAAAATAAATCTGTTACTTAAAATAAACCACTGCTTCACCATCCAGCGAGACATAAACTTCAATGAGGAAGAAGGAAACAGATACAGTCAGCACACACACAGAATAGATGCTGCTAAAGTATATGTTGTCAAGGATTCAGATATAATCCAATTCAAATCATGCCTTACAAACAGACTATAATCAGATAAACCCTAATATAAGATTCTCATTGTACAAACATTTTCTGAGCCTGTTACGTGTTAAATGGCTTTAGAAATTGCTCAAGAATGATGCATATGCTAATTATCCTGATTTGATCATTATACAGTGTGTAGCGTACATATATCAAAATATCACATTGTACCTGATAAATATGTATAATCATTGTCAATAGAAAAAGAAACACAAAAACCCACTCAAGAAATATTTTCTGGGAACTAGGAAATACCATGAAGAATACTATCCATAAGCCCATGCCCTTAATAGTTCACCTTCTTATAGGAAAGGTTTTTTTAAAGATATAACTAAACGTATATAAGAATATAAAAACTAAATTATATATAGTAAAGATTTCAAGTAATATTTCCCTTACAGTCCAGAATACGTAACGATATGCTGTAATTTATGTAACTTTTTCTGCATTGGTATTGAAGATTGAATTTAGGAGCTTCACATTGAGCTAAATCCTCAGATTTTTAATTTTTTTAAAAAAATTTTGAGACAGGATCTTGCTAAGTTGCCCAGGCTGGGTTTAAGTTTGCAATTCTCCTGCTTTAGCCTCCCAGGGTGCTTGGAGGATTCAAGCGTGTGTCGCCATGCCTGGCTTAATTTATGTTACTTTGATCTAACCATTTTGTAAGACATTCATTACATAGAATAATGAGACACATGTGTTCAGGGCATATCTACTATATGCTATAATTCTAGCGTCAGCCTATTTTCAGTTACTAAATGCAGCACAGTTAAGAAATGATGGGTTCATGGTGCCATCTAGTGGTGCTTTGTAACTATTGTCATTGGTGGTCTCATTTGAAAGAGGCAGATCTTCCTAACTAGACCAGCAGGGACACGTTTGTTAACTAAGCTTATGAAACTTAAGAGTCTTACCCAGCTCCTTAGAATGAAATGTCAGCCATTATCCTTTTGTATGTGGCACACATGGAAAAGTTTAATATTTTAAAACACTTGGAGCAAATGAATAGATGGAACTGATCACAACTATTCCAACAAAAGTAGGAATCAACTGCCCAGCACAACTAAGACCCATTTGCATGACAGTAGTTTGGCCGTACTAATTCAGTTTATCAATTAGTCAGTTAGCACTTTTATATTATTGCCTGAAAGTGTGGAGAAGCAGGTAAAACGATGAGGAACAAAAAAGGCAAAATGTATAATTGCTTACCTACTTGGTCTTCTTCACCATAGAATTCATTCTCATAGCTTTATTTGGTAAATAAAAGGGTTTCTGGGTTTCCTAAATACCACCAAATGATTTTCTGATTTCTTGCATAAAAACTGTGTGTTCTCTATCCAATCATTACTATACACATTTCTATGTCAATCACCGTGATTTCTGTTCCCATGACCACTAGAATAGAAAGGACTGATTAATGCACACCTGCTCATTGCCATTGCTGCACTAGTTTCCTATCTAAACTTCTTACTGGGTAAGTTAGTGGACTTGTTTGGGGAAAGTAATTGGTATGGGTGCTTTGGCACAGCCCCTGCCCACGTGCAGGGGTATAGGAGTGCATGCATGTGTATTCAGCAGTGTGAAGGGGACATGTGGTCACTCCTTGATTTCACTCTCCCTCCAGATGTACATCACAAGCACAATCAAGACAAAGAGCAGCCGACTGGCCAAGCCAGTGCTGTGCCTAGGTACCCTCTGCACAGCCTTCCTGACTGGCCTCAACCGAGTCTCTGAATATCGGAACCACTGTTCAGATGTGATAGCAGGCTTCATCCTCGGCAGTGCAGTGGCTTTGTTTCTGGTAGGTCAGCTTCTTTCATTCTACCTGGTTTCCTCCAATATGCCCTAAAAGGATGTCTCAGGTTATGGTGAGCTCTGTCCCACCCTTGTGATGCTATTCTCCAGATATCGTGCATCCTTTTGCTGCGAGGGTTATTTTAGAGCACTTTTCTTTCAGAAATGTAATGGGCCAGGTTCTTTCTGGGGGTCAGGGACAAGACTGCTCCAACAAGTGCGTCCTTCTCCATTTCCTTGAACACTGGGCTAGTGATTGGGCCTGGGCAGACTAGTAATGTGAGGTGCCTTCAAACCAGTCTTCTTTCGGTATTTACTGTAGGTGTTTTAGGAAAGGTAAGAGCACTGGTAGAAGCAGGCAACTTCTCCCCAGCATCCTGAGAAACTCAGTTCTAGTGCAAGAGTCATTACAGTATGCACATCTGCTCAGAAATATAAACATTGCAGCTAATCACACCAACTCTTTTTTAGACTTATTACCTGGGCCTACCTCTTGAACATCCTATTTCCACCACAAATTAATGAGAACAGTCTCGGTTAACTCAGTTTTCTCCATATTTTTTCCATTTCTGATAATGTTTTAGATGTTCAAATAGGTGGGGCTTGGACACCTGTTCACATACAAAATCCCTTAACCCCAGTTGCATTGGAAAAAACAATTTATATTCATTTAGTTTTGTTTTTCCTTTTTTCATAGTTTTACTGAGGTACAGCAGGCATATACCCATGGCACATAAAGTGTCCAATTTGACAAATTTGACCTACAGTTTCACCGATATCTCTCCCTCCTTTCATTCCCCTCATCCCAGAGAACCACCGATCTTCTGTCATTCTATGTTAGTTTGCCTTTTCAGGGTTTTATATCAACAGAAGCACATAATATGTACTATTCTTCTAGTACCTCTCATGCAGTACAATTATTTTGACACCCATTCATGTTGTACAATGTATCGATAATTCATTCTTCTTATTGCAATGCTGTATTCCATTACATGGGATACCACAGAGTGCAGGGGTTTTTAAGTTTTCCTTCAAATTTTAAAATAAATTTAAAGTAGCTCCTGAAGAATTTACAATAAGTCTCCAGGCCTGGGAACCAAAATATTTTGCATGAAATAAATCTCCTATCAATAGTCAGAAAGCTTCCCTGCGGAGAAAAAAGCCATCATGGTCTCAAAAGACATCTCTCTTCCTATTCTGCCCTTTGCAGATGAAGTCCCCTCATGACTTCACACATCACCTGATTTTCCAGTCACCAAACTGCTTTTCTTTACCTGCACTCTGCCTCCCCACCTTACATAGTACACATATGCCTGTGCTATCCTCTAACTCAGCTTCCCAACTTTTTTTCCTACTAAGATGCACACAGAAAATGCTCACACATTTATTCAGAACACTGTTTGTGAACCTTTATTATAATTCAGTATTACTTTGAAAAGATTCACTTTTTTCTATTGTGAAAGATGAGACACTGAAATGCAAATTCTCTTGGTGAAGTTACCAGAAAAGGGGTACTGAACTGGTCCTAAGATGTTGACATCTCATAAGAGGTATTTCTCCAGGAAAGCTTTTTTTTAAGAGAGGAAAACTAGAGGTGACTTTAAATGAAGTGCTTCAAAGGGAGTTCAGTGGTAAATAAATGAAGACTTGGGTTCCAAGGAAAAGCCAAACAATTTCAATATCCACCAGTACTAAAAAGCATCATCTCCAGTTACAAATAAAGAGCAGTTCTGAGAATCCCAAGCAATTTTATCAAGTTTCTGTGAGATGATACCTGCAAAAACCTTTATGCTTGTTGGCACCTCACTACCAATTCTATTGTAACTTTGAACTTGTTTTTTTCTGAGTAATAGCAGCCCTGTTTTTTTAACACTCAGTTATGATTTGCTCTGTTATTGGTTTCAGGTGATTTCCCAACTGATGTCAAAATTTGTTTTCCCCAAATGACCTTTGCCTATGATCCATATCTGCTATTGAACGGCTCTGGCATGATAAAGACTAATCTGCCTGCATGTAGGCAGAGGCACATACCTCAGAGACATACATACTGAGCTGAAAAAAGAAAGAGAAAGCATGTTTAGGAGGAGAATGGAGGTATTCCAGAGCAGAGATTTGGAGAGCAGATAGAAAGAAAAAAACATAAAAATAGAATAGCAGCATACTGGCTGCATATGATCAATATTATGTTATCTGTTTGTGTTTCTCAGAAAGAATGGAAGAAAAGGAAAAGAAAGTATTTGTTGAGGTAATTACACACTTTGCATTCAATATACATCAAAGTATGTGTTCCTAGGACAAACTTAGTAATATTTTTATCCTCATTTTAGAGATTAAGAAAGTGAGGCTCAAAGTAAGTAATTCATCCAATAGCTGCCCAAGCAATAAGCCATGAATCAGACCTCGGTCTCTCAACTCCAAGGCCCTTATATCTGTTGTTTTGTTCCATTTCCTAAATGGAAAAAGTTTAAATTTCTGTACAGTAAGATAGAAGTGATCCAGATAAGCAGTGTTTACGTAAATGTTCTGCATGGTTTGAAAAATGACAAGAAAGATTAAAAAACCCTACATGTAGAAACAAAGATGCACAATAATGAAAGATACATAGAAAGAGGCAAGTAATGAGTACATGAGCAAAAAGAGCAGGGAAGATGATAAAAAACCAAGTTATTTCTGACTCTGGTAGAAAATAATGAAAAGTGAGTAATAATTCAGAGGGGATGTTTTTAAATGATAGAAATAAAAGAAAACTACCACTTGTGAGTTATTTAATCCAGGTAAATAATAGTCACATACTTGAAGATGATCCTCTCATGTAGAAAAAATAAAGACCAGCCAACATTGACTGAGTAGTAGCTATATATTTGTCACTTGTTAAGTGGCAAAATAGTATGGTGGTGTGATTTAGGGGCTCTGGAGTTTAAATCTTTGTGTGACCTTGAACAAGTTATCTAAGTTCCTTTATCTGTGCCAGATTTCATAAGATTATCTTCTGTAGAAAACTGGTGGGTGGCTTAAGTAAAATGAAGTAAAACTGTCAAGACAGTGCCACATCCATTGTGGTCCTCAATAAATGTTCATGATTAAGAGGTGATTTAAATTCATCATCTTTACTTGTTACAAGTCTATTAGGGAGATACTCCTATTCCCATTTTACAGCTGACAAAACTGGTTCAGTGGCGTGGAATGATTGCCTGTGGCTATCTGGTGAACAAAGAGATGCTTCCTAAGCATTGAAAATGTTCTCAGCAGATATCACACGTCTTCTCCTCATTCCTACCCATCCATTCAAAGAAAAAAAAAAGTCCCGATGGTGATGATAGTCACAGGGAAAGGCCTTGCCACCTTCAGAGATGGTCAGGCATTGATGGCTGCAGTCTGACCCCAATCTTCTTTCCCCTTATCCTGCAGGGAATGTGTGTGGTTCATAACTTTAAAGGAACACAAGGATCTCCTTCCAAACCCAAATCTGAGGATTCCCGTGGAGTACCCCTAATGGCTTTCCCAAGGATAGAAAGCCCTCTGGAAACCTTAAGTGCACAGGTATACTAACGGTGGTTTTAACAAACTAAACCCACAGGCTATGATACCTTTGTAAGTCAACCAATTCTTTCCCACTCTAGAGATAGGACACCACTGAATCCACCAGCATCAATAAGAATCTGATTCATTCATTGTAAATGCTCTCAAGAAAGAAATCTTTACAGCCTTTTTTAAGAAGTCCTGAGTTCAACTGGGGGCTGGCAGTCATAAATCCTCAAGAATTTCTTAGTAAAGTTTACTTTAAACCCAAGCCACTTTAGAATACTTTGAACTCCAATGTACTATCACATTCATGAGATTTGGACTATTAATGTAGAAGGCCAATTTGATTTATTAACTAATTATTCCTGGACAGCACAGTTGTTCCTTGGCATCCACAGGAGATGGGTTCCAAGAACTCCAGAGGACACCAGGGTGCAAATTTGCTCCAGACATTTACATAAAATGGTGTAGTATCTGCGAATACCCTTTGCATAAACTCCCATATACTACTTTACATCATCTCTGGAGTACTTCTTACACCTAATACAATGTAAATACTGATTGTTACTATACTGTATTATTTAGGGAACAGTAACAAAGAAAGAAGTTCTCCACATGTACAAAGTACACAGAATTTTCTTTCAAATATTTTTGATCTGATGCCTTAAGTGCTGTACAAATCTAAATTTAAGGGAAAAAAAATCTAAGGAAAGCCTTGGAGAAGACCTGCTAGTTGAAAGCCTAGAAAGATAATATGAGGCACTGACTTTTGCTTACAGAAAGTTGCTAAGTGCTTTACAAATACATACTCATTCAACCACCATATTTAATAGATAATTCCCATTTCGCAGATTAAAAATAAAAATACTATCAAGTCAGCGTTATTAAATTACTTGCCCCATGCTAGGAAGTGGAAAAGCTGGGATGACTAAGAGTTCTTTGAGCAAACAGGAGAACACCTAATAGAACAATAATGACAGCTAATGAAACAATAATAAAATAATATTTTAGTTAGAATGCTGTTTTTTTCAAGTATGTGGGATCCTACTAAAATGTTTGTTCTCCACTATAGTCTGGTTATCTTGAAATCTTGTTTATATTTAATATCTTGTTACTATTTTTATAGATAATGCAAAGAAAAAACAAATCATTTCCCCCTTGTAATTATATTTCAGTGCAGTATGAAATATTTTCATTATTTAAAGATTGACTATCAGACATCTTTCTGATATAAGCTATACTAATATATTTTAACTTTCAGTTAATTTTAATTGTATTAATGAGCCACAGGAAAAAACAATGAAATTATTTCCATTTTTGGAAAGATACTTAGGGCTCACTATTAAGTGTAATGCCAAGTATTTTTTTGGCTTGTTTTCCCTTGTCTTGAATTAAAGTGAACATTTTGCATGGTCTAATTGGAAATAGCATATTGAAAAATTTATTTCTGATTTATTTTTTTACAGCTTGTTGATACATGTTGAATGACAGTTTAGTAAATAACATTAAAACATTAAACAGTAAAACACTTTACAATAAAATGGCAAAATGTGATCTTTCTAGCTTTCCTTTACTATCCAGCATTAGTTTCCTGGTCCCAGAGATCAAAAGAAACACTATTTTTTGAGATAAAGTAAATGAAGACAAAGGGTGAATTTTTAAAGGGACCAAAAATACTTGCTGATACCCACAAACTTATTAATCATGCATCCTTGCAAATGACGTTCCCTGAATATCCTGGTCAAAGAATATTTGCCCCTAATCATTCTTCCCAACTCTGCTCAGGCATTACCCTCTGTCTAAGGCCTTTCTGAGATTTCTTTCTGTCCACTTCAGGACTGTTAATAGTTGTCCAGGCCAAGCAATATCCAGAACACACATGAACATCAGCTGGGTTGGGGATGGAGGTCTGCTGACATTAAAAAACGAAGAACCAAAGAGTTTGCAAAAACTGCTATTCTCAAGACAGATAAAAGTTTCACCTTTGCTGGGAGATCCCAAGTAAACAAGCATCTGCTTGTAGTATCAAATATTTCTCCATGGATAGTGAAGAAATTATACCCTTTATTTGTTGGTCAAGAAAAGAGAACTAGTAGTTATTAAGAACTATCTCATTTAATTCTCAGAATAGTCCTGTTCTCCATATTATTATCCTATGTTATAGATGAAGAAATTAAGATTCAGAGTTTAAGTAACATGCTCAAGTTCCAAAGTCTATGCTTGCTCTATTACTATACTGCATGGCCTGAGATTTCATTCTAGTAAAATTCCTTCATGAAATCTACAATCTCACCCTTGAATATGGAAACATGCCACAAGACCTGAGCTACAGGTCTTCCAAAATAAGTATCTTCTACATTTTACCTTCTGGGTAAGAACTTCAGGTACACCTCTGATAAGCCAGGGTTTCCATTAAAATGTACTTCTTTGTGGGCCTGAGGATTCAGCTCAGTGGTGCTGCACCTGCCTCACAAGCTCGAGGTCCTGAGTTCAATCCCTGATACGGGGGGCGGGGGAAGTACTTCTTTGTAATTTTTTAATAGAACTATCTTCCCAGGAGAGAATCTCTGGGGATTTGAGAGAAGGCTAGAAGTTCTCTTTAAGGCACACACTAATACACTTGAAATCCATCCCATCACTCAGAATATCATATAGAGAAGCTCCTGAGTAGGGAGGGACCCAAACAGCCTGTTTCTTCCTCCTGAGACATTCTTTCCTCTTTGTTACACAGAGCCCCCAAAGCTACAGTTCTGTCTTTGTTTAAGACATAAATTAACACTTGAATATTTGCTTTCTGGCATTCCTCTCAGTGTAGTTGTTTGAGAAGGGAACATATTCTAAAATCTTTCCCAAGTACTAAGAACCAAGAAAATGAATTATAGAAAATTCAAACATCAAAAATAGGTCAAATTTCCAAAGTATTATTTTATGATTGTAAAGAGTCACTGCGATCCCAATTTTAGCTACTCACATTCTGTACCCCAATGCCCACATTCACCTGAAGAAAAAAATTGAATCAGAACTGAAGAAATTTTGTTAACTCATGCTGGATGTGGTATGGAGTCTCCCTGTGCTTTCCACTTGGGGGAATACTTTTTCTCCAACTGCACAAAAGAAAAATGCAATTGTTGTTGAGACCACAGATGCCTGGATCCTTACCCAAAGAATTTTGGTTCAGCAAGTGTGGGGTGAGAAAAAAATTACTATTTCCAGATAATTCTGAAGGACCTTTGATTCAAAATTGGTGATATCATAGACTTTATATTATAAATAGAAAAAATACAGTTTTAAACAAATCTACTCAAAATAACTATTTGTCTTAGGATATTGAATTTCTGTGTCTTTCCCAGTTATTCCTTTTTTTTTTTGGTACCGGGGATAGAACTCAGAACCTTGTGCTTGCAAGGCAGGCGCTGGAACCACTGAACTAAATCCCTGACCTCCTGGTTATTCTTAGATGGAATCATATTAACATATAAATGATGTAGGTGTTGAAAAGAACAACAAAAGAATGGAAACCATATTGTAAAAGGAATGTAAAAGAAAAAGGTTATTTGTTTTTATTTTTCAGGGCAAGAAATGCCTCAAACTCCAGTTTCTCAAAAATGGAAAGCAAGAGTACCGTGAAAAATATAAAGTACTCAGCTTCTAAAAATGTACAGTGGAGCTCTCAAGAATATAATATAAATCATCACTGTTCTAAAAAAAATTAGAATTAGGAAACCAATAATAACCAATTAGATGAAAGTTTCTTAAGATATTTGCCAATTCCATGTACAAGATCTTTGGGTTTTAAGTTTGAACAAAAAAGACAAGACCCTGGGGTCACACTAACAAGTTCTGTAAAAAAAGATTGACAGAATTACAAGGAAAATGCACATGTCTGAAATCATAGATTTTTACCACATTTCTCTCAGCAATTAATAAAAAGCAAACAAAACAGAGTAAGGATATAAATTATTACTTCAAAACACAAGAAACATAAAAACAAATCATGTCTAAGGCCACTAGGAAAATCATAAGAAATTTTAATGGCTCTGAATTATGCAGACCACATGCTCCAGAAAAAAATGAAAGGAATGAAAATCAAACCAAAAAAATCTCCCATCCTTTTGAAAATATTAAATACATTTCTATAGAACTCATGAGCCAAAGATTAAATCATATGGAAATATTTTAACATTGAAATTGTTCAATATTAAAAACATTAAGAAAGCATAGGATGCAGCTGAAGTTATTCTGAATAATGCTTATATTAGAAAATACTTAAGAATAAGAAAGAGTTACATAGAGAAAAGTTTAGTTGAAGAAATGATCCTAGTGTGGGAAAAGTCAGGGAAAATTTAAATGAGCAAGTAATGGAATTTGAGAAACCTTGGAAGAGCATTAGGAAGAAGGAATATCAAATTCTAGGAGACAAAAAAGAAAGGAAATATTCAGGGATGAGTGTGTCCAGGGTTTTGTAAACCCAATCTAAGACTATGTCTGCTTGTGTTTGCTTTGCAGAATCACTCGGCCTCCATGACTGAAGTCACCTGAGATGACTAATGGGACACAAACTATTTTTTAATCACCCTCCAGTTCAATACTTCAAAAAACACAGTTACTCAATGTCAAACTGTGAAGACAAGTATTATGTTTATCTAGTTAGAGGCTAATGTTTTGTACATTTTTTGTATGAAAAAGTGACGTAGCTTGCCCTGATTTTCTTTGTCAGCTTTAACATATTTATGCTGGAATTTTAAAACCAACAAAATTTTCTTCTTGTTCAAGTGTTCATTGATGAATCACATTTATTCAATGGTTGATGTTGTTTTGTGATATTTGTACACAAACCTTCTTTTCTCAGTTTTATAAACACAAATAAAATTAATATAACAATTCACTTTAAACTTTTATTACCACACTTTCTGCCTCCTCCAGAATTTTTGAATTTTAATGGAAGTTAAACTTTGAGTTTCAGGAAGGACAGTGTTGGTTAATAGTAAATCTCAAAATCAATTCTGGAAAGAAATATTCAAAGAGAACTTTGTGTTCCAATCTGTTTATCAGGCTATTTCGTCAAAAGTTATAGGTATCAAGTTCAATCCCCAGTACCAAAAAAATTAGAAAAAGGTAAAAGGAAATCACCTAGTTTACACTGAAAATTAGCAGAGAATCCTAGATCTGGGGGTATTTGGGTTGTAGGATTCTTTCTTAAATAATGGCCTCGTCCACCTAAGAAACTCAAGATCTGTCTGAAATCTTGTCCTGGGGCAGGCATGTGACACTGCAGCCTTTTGTTCAACAAGTAGTCAGCACCAGCCTTCCTTGCCAACTCAACAGTTTTGTATATCATATTGTATGGACTTTATATGAGAATGGATGTTTTACAGTTTGGACAGTATTATTTTACAGAAAAGGTATCAGAGTATCTACAACCTAGAGCCCCACAGCAGCAGCTTCACTTTGTGGCTTTTTACTGTTCTGAGATTATAACTGCATCCCATTTTTCTAGCATGGTGATAACTAATGTGTACCTCCTTTGAGAGAAGGAGTTCCTTATCTATCAGAATGTTTTTCTTGACACTTCCATGTTGGCTCTTCTTAGCTTTTTGTACATATTTTTTTTTCTAAAGAGAAGATAAAAAATTATCACAAAATGTATTCTGGCTCATGTCCTTTGTTTTACACTCCATCAACTGGACAAAGGTATTTTAAGAGTTAGCATGATGTGACTCAGTAAGTGTTTTTAGCTCCACATGACTTGAGAGAATCCTAAATGCCGGCATGATTGAGAGATAATTTTGAGTGAGTATGTGTGCATCTATGTGTGCCTTTAGGGCAAATAAAAGAATCCCCTAAGTTATTAAAATACTCAGATGTACATTCTAGATACACAGCATGGTGCCTTGGCCTTCATCCCACCCACAGGTACTCCTGAATTGTCAATAAAAAGTCAGGCACCATTTTTAGGAACAAATGTCACCTCTCGTGCAACTTTCCCTATTTCATTCTGGCCTAACCTTGCCTGCATATGCACAAACTATCACACATATCTTCTGTGTGATGCGCTACTAAAGTTGGGGAGGAGAGCAAGGAGTATTTAAGGCTCTTTTCACCCTAGATACTAAACCACATGCTTTCATGTACATGGCCTGGTTGTTTTCAAAACAAGGAGCTCAGGAAAGTTGTGACAACCCCAAAAGTAGCACTCATCAACATAAATGTTATAGTCACATCTACCTGATCTTAATTTCCACTACATCAAGATGACTCTGAGCCAAGTCCACATTTTTTCATGTTATTTTTATTATGATATACTTATTTAGGTGGTTCAGAGGATAGTGCTGGAGAGAAAAGCAAATCATAAGAAGGATTTGTTAATTTCTAAGCCTTAGCTCTCTAGTCTTATATAAGCTTATTGTCATCCAATTTCAGAATGATTCATTGTCTTTTTCCTAACATATTTAAGGATTTTCTTTCAAAGTAATGCGTGTTCAATTTTATTTCACTTTTCATAAAATACTCTGAAAAATTATGGCAGGCCAAAGAATTACTACATTTCCCTTATCTTGTCTCAGTGAGAGGTCACTTACTGTTTGGCTACTAGTTCATATTTCCAAGAACAAAAATCAAACTAACAAAGCAAGTCATGCTGTCTTTCCAATGTTTATTCTGGAAAGGCCTACCTGTAGCATTTGAAGAGCTTTGGCTGCAGACTCTTGTTTCCCTAGCCTTGGACAAGGAGGGCATTGGTATATGACCGAGCCACGCTATCTAGGGCATCAACACAAGTCACTTGTAACTAAGTAGTACCTCAGTGAATCAATAGAAAACAGGTTTGACCAGCATATGAACCAAAAGCTGGACCTTGCCCCCTTAAAAGATAAATAAGATAGACAAATATTTGACAAGTCAAACTGAGAGAAAAATAAAGAGGTTATGTGAAAGTTTATGAGAAGTTTCTGGAAAATATGAGTGAAATTCTAAAACAATATAAATATTAAATTGGCTCCAAAAGAAATTATAGAACCCAAGTTAGTAAATATGAGAAATTCATCTATTATAGTTAGATGAACAAACAAATCAGTCTATTAATGCATGTAATTCACCACATTAACAGATTGAAAGAGGAAAATGTTATGAAAATAACAATGGCTAGCTCTGATAAAGCAAAAGCTATGTGCCAGGCATTGTTCTAAAAGCCTAAATGTATTAACTCAATTTCAATAAATGCTAGAAGGTACTTGATTAAATTCAATCTCATACCTGATTTAAATAATAATGTATACATGGATTAAAGAGGAACAACATTATTCTAAATTTTTCTGAAGTATGGGAAATCTACAGCCAGCAGCTTACTAGAGAATGGTTTTAGAACTTTCATGTCAAGTATCAGAAATCCAAATTAAACTGATTTAAACAGAAAATGCAACCTAGAAATTTCAAGGAATTCAGAGATCCAAGGTATCCCTAACTGGAGATAAGAGATTACTCAATTTGCAAGACTATCCATAATTTTAAAATAGCAATGTACCCTAATGCTTATAAACTAGGATTTTGGCCTGTTTCCATCCAATCATTTGTGATAGTTGCAAATCTAGAGAAACCAGGAGAACCCCATCACCCATCCTTGCCTTATCCTCATTCTTTTTGTCCCCATTTCACCCTCTTCTCAGCCTATTGTCACTCGACCTTTGGTTAGAGTTTGCTTCAGGTCCACGTGAGATGTTCCCTGAAGTATTTCTAGATTTCTCCCTAGGAATGTTACTCGACTGCCTCATGGGTAATACAAGCCCCTGCCCAGAGCAAGGGCCAGGAAATGCTTGGATTCTAGGACACAAAGCACAAGAGGGCATATGGAGGCTTTATGAGATAGCTTGGCCCATCATATACCAGCATCCTTTCACTGCTTCTCCTGTGGCTCTACAGCTGGTCCATGGGCTACTCTGCATATGCTGTTATTGAGGCATTCATCATTCCCTCCTATAAGAGAAGCACATAGAAATTTAGCTTATTGTGGAGGTTTCTTTTAAATTGGCAGAAAGACATACAGCCCCAGAGATGTGGACCTGGGCTGGCTCCTGAAATGAGCAGATGCATGTTAAAACCAGATCCCCCTTCATGAGTGGAACTTCAAAGATGGCATTGGACCCTTTGATTCAGACAGTGGCTACCACTTGCTTCAGGTAGCAGGCCATCAGGTAGCAGGCCATTGCTGGCCCAATCTTTGCACCTTGGCACATGGAGAGCACATCAATTTCTGGCCTTTGGATCTTAAGCACCAAACAAAGGGAAAACCATTATCAGCCATACTCAGAAGAAGCTTATTATAGTGGTTTACTACTGCAAGCTAGTAGTAAACAAGTGTGATGAAAAGAGTCTAAAAATGTTGAGTTCTGGTACTCAGATCTACCAGGTTCTGTGGTGGAGTACATTACCTATTTACCTTCTCTAAGCTTTATTGTTTCATGGGAATGGTGTCAGCAACCTTGCAGAGTTGTTATGAGGACCAAGTGAAACAATAAAATTAAAACTCTTGATCAAAAGTAGAGTTCTATAGATGCAATTAGAGTCTAGCCACATTGGACATCATAAGAGCAGAAGCAGTTAAGCTATCCAAAGAATAAAATTTTTGTCTTCAGTTAGAAAAAGATGGTTTCTGGGTTCTCTCAAATATTATGTACATGTGAGTCTCATTTAAATAGCATTTTACAGATACAAACATTCCGTACACTCATTGCCTCCATCAATCCAAGGGTTAGCCCTTAAAGCATCAGGAGTATGCAGATGAAAGCCTTGCTCACTATCAATCACTGAATTACTGTACCTTGTCCAATAGAAAAAGGCAGTAAAAAGATGCCAGGAGAGTGAAGAAATCTGACCAGTGAGTGAGGACAAAATGGGAATCATGGATAAATTCAGCTAGTTCAAATAGACATGTCTTATTTTGCTCACAACAATATACTGGACACCTTTTGGTCATCAGGAACACCTGGAAACATTTTTTTAATTAGAGCTTTCCAAGATCTAATTTCTTAAATGTCTCTTTCAATAGGTCTGAATGGGCACAAGAATCTGATACTGTAAAACATTCAAAGAAGTCTATATTGGCAACCGTCCATGTAAAGCCATGGTTCCAAATCTCCCAGCCATGGCCCAATACCACACAGCAGGAGGTGAGCTGCAGGCAAGCAAACCTTCATCTGTTTTTGCAGCTGCTCCCCATGGTTTGAATTACCATCTGAGCTCTGCCTCTCAATCAAGGGCAGCATTAAATGCTCACAAACTTACTGTGAACTGCTATGTAAGGGATATAAATCAACAGTCCCCAACCTTTTTGACACCAAGAACTGATTTTATGGAAGACAATTTTTCTATGGACAAGGATTGAGAAGGAAGGTTTCAGAATTGTTCAAAGGAAATCACAACTCAGATCCCTCCTATGCACAGTTCACAGTATGGTTTATGCTTCTATGAGAATCTAATGTGCTACCAAACTGACAGGAGGTGGAACCCAGGCAGTAATGCCAGTGATGGGAAGTGACTGTAAATACAGCTGAAACTTTGCTGGTCTGCCTGTCCTGTTATGCAACCTGGTTCCTAACAGGTCATAGACTGATACTGGTTATGGTTGGGTACTACTTGATCTAAGTTATATGCTTCTCATCTAATGAGTCTAATGCCTGATGATCTGTGATGGTTATGCTGGGGAGCAGACGCAAATACAGATTGACATCAGCACAGAGGTTTGACCACACAGAGATCATACCATTATATATTACTAGTCTCAGGATTCCTTCATGTGACCTATCTCATGCTGAGATAACCACTGAAGTTTTAAACATGTCAAGCCAGCGAATTCATGATTTGAGAGCAATAGTGATAAAACATTGTGGAGCCATTTATCAGTAAGTTACAAGCACTTCAAATGTATGGAGTCTTCACTTCTTCCACTGAAAAGAATGAAAATACCTCCACTGTTTTTATCATTGATATGCCAATAGATACTAATTACCAACAGTCTTATAAAAATATAAGCTGTGCTATGCCCGCATCTGCATGAATCAATTAGTCAGAGCTGACTTCTATTATTTTTTTCTGTAATGTTGTAAGATAAACAAAAAGCACT